GGGACCCCCGCCTCGGCCACTCCGCGGCCCCGATGCCGAGGCATGGATAGAGCGGCACTGCGCGCTGCGATGGGGGAGGAGGATGGCGGAACGGGGGACGCGGATGGGGGCGCCGGGGCCGCGGCCAGCCGGGCGCTGCAGCAGTGCGGGCAGCTCCAGAAGCTCATCGACATCTCCATCAGCAGCCTGCGCGGGCTGCGCACCAAATGCTCCGCGTCCAATGACCTCACCCAGCAGGAGATCCGGACCCTGGAGGTAAGGGGGCCTGCGGCGCCCGAGAGACCGGGCGGAGGGCAGGACGGCAAGGACGAGGGTCCACGCCTGGGGAAGCAGCACCCAACACCTCCCCGCGCTGTCCCAGTTCTCTTGCATCCTTGAACCCGGGCCGCCCCCCCCGACCCCCGCCCCTACTTTGAAGCTCCTTCCCCCACGCTGGCTGGAGAGGCAGCTGGAAGACCCTGGTCCTGGGCCGCATTGGAGGTGGGGTGGGTGGTGGTGGAAATGGGATAGGGGCTCCGGGAGTCCGTGGGCAGGGTGGGCGGCCCACGGATATCCCCCGCCCCCTCCTTCACCACCCCCACCTCTTTCCAGCTTGCCAGACCACACGACTCGCTCTCATGGAGTCACACGCGGGACCTTTCCCGTGTGACAGGCCAGCGGCCGTGGGCCGGGGTGACAGCTATGGAAATGAAAGTGGGGGGGGGGGCACGGCGGCAGGGGGATGCCCCGGTGAAGTGTGCGCTCAGGTCCGCCGCCCTTGGCCTTCCCCTCGCCACTCAGACGCCGTCCGGCCCCTTCCTTCCCCCGCTCCCCCCTTCCAGGTTCTTGTCTGCCGCTTTTTAAAAAGTGTTTGCTGAAACGGCGTTTTGTGCTCTTCAGGCATGCGGCCCTTTCCTTTCGCGTTGCCACAGCGTCCCCCTGCTCAAAATGTAATCACTCACGTCCTCCCGCCTCCCCCATGCAGTGGATCTTGGCTTAGGAAGGATTATGCTGGGGAATGAAGCCTTTGGGGGGGGTGGGAGAGATGCACCCTCGAAGGTGGAGTCGGCCTGAAAATGAAATGCAGAGAGAAGAAATGAGATGAGAAAGTGGGCCCTTTCTCAAATGATAGCTTTAGGGAAGTGTGGTAGTGAAAGGATTTTGAACCAGCCCAAAGGGGTGTTGGGTCTTTAGAGGGCATCTCCACCTCCACCCCCACCCCCCACGACACAACGGAGGGAAACTAGTGTCCTTCCCAACTTGCTTTGGTCCAGGGACTTCCTTGGAAGGCCATGAGATTCCAGGTACCTGGTTAATAGCTACCTACAGTCACTGTCTACCTTGTGTTGCCACATCTGGCCTTCTGCAGGTCTCCGGATGTCTTGTTTTATTAGCTGCTCATCTTTCTCGTTTCCCCCCCACCCTCCCCTCAGGATTGCTAATTGCCTCTGCCAGCTGTCATCGCTCCAGCCAGCGATTGGCGATGATTATTACAAGAACGGCCCGCCCTCCTCTTTGCACCCCACAAGCCCACAACCCGGTTTGGTCCCCCAAATGCTCCAAGGTGGTTCTCTCCCTCACTTTTCCGCTCTCAGAAACTCCCAAACGGGGGACGTAGGAAGCATTCACTCTGTGCTGGCTATTAGTATTTTTATTACAGTTACTGTCACAATGCCGACCAAGACTTTGCTTAACAAATGAATGAACACCCCACCCTCACCCCCACCCCCTCCCCACCACGCGCCTCTCTTCTGCCTGTGTGCTGCTGTTTCTCAAGTGGCGGAGAGAAATGGATTTCTTGAACACAGCCAAGAGTTTTGGCCCGGCAAAGTTCAGTTTTCAAGTGGACACAATAGGGGGCCTTGTGTGGCTTAGTTCCGGGAGGAGGGGGTCCTGCCGCAGCCTGTGTTTGCTGGGATGAGAGATTGTTCTCTGGGCTGGCATTTCTCACGCTGCTCTGAAGTGCTCCCGCTTCCCAGAGGGGATCCAGGAGAGCTATTTGCTGTTAGCTCTCTGGAAACGGGCACCCCTGACTTCCAAAGGCCCTTGCTTTTTTTGGATGAGAGGGTGGCTTTGTGACCCCCTGAAGCATGGAGCTATTTTGGCCTCTGAGCTGGCTTCTTCGGGGGCCTCCCTTCAGGGCTCCTGGCATTGATTTGGTTGTTGCTCTCTGGCAGCTGGGAACACATCCTGAGGCCGGTGGGGGTCTGCAGTGGAAATGGCCCTCATCCCCAGTGCCGAGTCCTCTCCAGCTCCTTCTGTGGGTGGCTGGCAAGTCAATTCTGACTCATGGTGACCCCATGTGCATCCGATGGGAACTGTGCGCCATTGATTTTGCAGGGGCTGCGTTTTCGGAAGCAGACCACCAGGGTTTTCTTCCCAGGCACCCACTCATACCTCCAGCCTTTCTGCCTACTCTACTTCTTTGCAAAAGCAGGACTTGAGTTGTTGTTGTTTTTTTTTTGGGGGGGGGTGTTGTGTGTGAGGAGGTGGGAATAGGAATTTAGACCCTTATTACTAATTTCCTGGGGTTGCTACAAACAAGTTTAGGTGCTTCACCTCCCTGGCCTCAGCCATCTTGCCTGTGATTAAAGGTGGCTGGCAAGCCTGAGGGCCCTTGCCTCTCTGAAGCCTATGATTTTGTGCAGGACACTCGATTAGCTTGAATCATTTATGCTCCAACCCCGTTTAAGAACACCCAAGGCTCTAACCTCCAGGTTTACTGGAGCTCCTGAAATATTCCTCAGAGAACCTGACATTAGGGGCAATGTACCAGGGAGAGAGCCCAACCCTCTCAGATCGGGCCTGGCTTCTGGTCGTGTGCGTCTGCAGAACTCCTATGACTTTTGTCCTTCCAGCCTCCCTGTCTATAAAATGGGGACGAGACGGCTGCAGCCCGGCAGGCTGTGCGACCACTGTAAGCCTGTGCTCTTTCGCCTTAAAGGTTCTGCCTCTAAAATGTCCCAAGCTAGGCTCAGATGGGATTCACTCTCCAGGCCACTGCCAGGGACGGCGCATCTGTGACTGGCTCTTGTTTCCTGGACATGGTGACACAGGCCAGGAAACAATCCTAGTCGCTGGGCAGAGGCAGGCCACCCCAGCAGGGTGGGGCCCGGCCAGGCAGCGCGTCCACTCGGACTGTCTTTCCTGTTCTGTCGGCTTCTCTCGCATACCAGGCCAGATCCCCGAGAGACATGGCTTGCAACACTGGATTCCTGGCTTTTGAAGGAGGGTCTGGCCAGAGGGCTTGTCTTACGAAAGCATGCCCGACTTAGGAACCCCAGCCCCCTCGGACTCTCCTTACGCAATTGGGGAGAAACAGCACAGGAGCTATGTGCGTGACCTGGGGCCTGAGATTTCAGGTTGTGGTGGTATGCAGTGGAAGGAGGAGGCGGCAGTGGTGGTGTGCCTGGCTTGTCTCCAGGCTGGCCGTACTGACATTTCTCAGTGTGGTGGGCAGTCAGACTTGGCTTGAAAAAGGTGGAGGGGGCTACAGTTTAATACATTTGCCAGGCAATATGCCGGAGCCTTCTCAGTCTCTAAAGTTTCCTGGAGAGCCACTGACCCAATGGGCATGGAGGGGCATAGAACCCGGAGCCAGAATCTAGCTATGAACGAAGATGTGAGGCTACTTCCTCCTAGCAGAGCCCCTTCCTCGGGACCTGTGCTCCTTCCTTAGATGCTCTCAAGGAGAGACCCCTGACACATCTCAGCGCTGGGCCTGGGGCCCCACGCTAGTTCATTCCTTCCTTGCTTCTTCCTCTGTGGGATGGCGCTGTGTCTGGGGCTAGCAAGGCAGCGGTGAGCATGAGCATACACATGCACGTTGCTTCGTGGAACAGCCAGTCTAGTGGATGCTCTAACGTTTTTCATTGGGATCAACCTACTTGTACCTTCTGCAGACAGGCTCTACCATGCCGAGTCTCCCTGCCTTGTGTGTTGGTAGTCCAAATCCCCCCTTCAGTAAGCTGCCGCAGTGAAGGGCTCTTCTGAAGACCATGCTGAGGGGGCAGCACTAGGGGGGTCTACTGCAGGTAGAGTCTCTGTACTTAGGCCACCTCCCTGACATATTACCTTGGATCTATGAGCCACCTGGGGGAGGTCAGGTCCAAGATGCCTGCCCTTCACTCAGCTCAGCAGTGCTAAAGGTCAGAGCCTTCTTGGCGGGAGGACCCAAGATCTCCCTGTTCCCCCTACTGTGGCGGGAGTTGTCACCATGTGTCTTCCCAGATCAGCCCTGAAGGCAGGCGTGGGCCTGTAGTCACTGACCTCCATGCAGTTCCGATGGACTTATTTACTGAACTCCTACCCTGGCTCGCCCCCTACCCCTACCCCCACCCCCAACATGGCAATGATGCTGAGGTGGTAGGGGACAAAGAACTAGATTTGGCCGTTGTATCTGGCTGGCTTCTGAAAATAGCCCTAGTAATTAAGGTGTTCTTTGTCCTCGTGAAATAGCCAGGCAAATAGGGGCTCCTCACACCTGCTAACTCACCTCGGGAAGAGAGGGGGCGCGGTGCAGTCAGTCCTGCCTACTCACTGATTGGGTTGACTTTGGCACAGAAAGACCCCAATCCTGCATATTCCTTAAGTCCCAATGCTTCGAGGACCTTGCACCTAGGAACTTTCCTTCAGGGCCTCCTGGATGTGAGAACACCCCGGGATGGGAGAGGGCAGTCTTGAGGACAGTGGAGGCCCAAGGCCAAGAGCGCTCTCAGCCTTTGCCTGACGTGTCTGCGCTGCATCCTCTCTGGTTGTGATGGAGTAGGGTCAGCTCACCCACGGGCACCGTGAGACTCGGACTCCAGGCCATCAGTCGCAAGGACAGCATCCCAGCTGGTGAGGGACCAGCTCTCGTGGCCGGGTGACAGAAAAGCTGCCCTGGCGGCTGATGGAACAGGACAGAGTCCTTTTGGCTGGAGACTTAGTCCCGAGGGTGGAGGTGGGTGGGAGGAGGCTGGAGGCAGACAGGTCTGATTGGCTTGAAGAGCAGAGCTATGCGGATGATGATCTGGCCTTGGGTGGCCGGAGGTATTCTCACCTAATTCCGGGTGGTGAGGGTGAGGGAGCAAGTGCCGAAGAAGGAAGGCTGGTAACCAGGGAGGGACATGTGGGAAGGGGAAGCCTGGATCCGTTTGATCCATTGGGAATCGAGTTTATGCTGAATTGGGTTTAGTGATAAAGGTGCTCACCTTTTTTTTTTGCTCACCTATTCATTGTGCAGTTAGGGACAGCAGTGGCCTCGAAGGCAGGGGGGTGCCCTCCTAGTTGGGGGG